AGCATTTTTTACAACCACTGTAGGAACACTGCTCAACTGCTCAGTGGTGACCCTTTTCTCTTCTTTCTTTCTGTCTTAAGATGCCCATGGACCCCATTGGTTTAGAAACCACTAATACTCCATCCCAGGAATCCAGGGTGCACATTAGCATGTAAAGGCTCTGAGAAGTCTCGCAGAAATAAAGCTCAACTCTGCTCCACGCAGACAGTCCCATGCTTCCTGGACCACAGAATCCTTTCCAAGCACACACTTCACACCTGGAGCATCTCAGGCTGCTCCCGACAGCAACACACACCCTGCCTCTCCATCTGCAGCCTCCTTGGACACTGACCGACCATGCCAGCCAGACACCCAGCCCCTCCAGGAGGAGATATGGAGCCGCAGACAGGCCTCCCAGCGCCTCACCCCTGTGCACATTCTTCTCAGGGACTGGGGCTGCATGCAGGCCAGGCACCTCACTTAGCCACTCTGAATTAGGGGTTCCCCCTTTGATGAGGGGGAGCCCAAGGCAGATGGTTCAGCCAGGACCCAGGGCAAGTACAGCAGAAACATCAGGAAAGTCTAGGTAAAACTTTTCACCCCAACTAGGTAAGGGGTTCAGAGAGCCACCCTGAGCAGAAAGGACAAGGTCTGAGCCAGCTGCTGCCAGGGTGTGCTGTTGGCAGAACCACGGGGGCTCCAGGAGCCTGGTCATCAGCCACACTGCCTGGCCCAGCACATTTTCTTCCTAGTCCCTTCCCAGGCACAATGCTGTTGGGTGGAGCTTGGAGAAAATCGCAGTCTGATTAGAAGCTTCCGGCCATTCTCTGTCATAGGCATTAAACATCTCTGCGTTACCACACAAATACTGGCCACCCTCAGACCTTGACATTGTCCACCACACAGCCACGTTTCCAGGTCACATCGGAGCTCAGGAATGTCACAAAGGCGGATGGGAGGGGATGGGGGCCACTAGTCTGACACCTCACTGGTTGAGGCCTTAGCCAACTTATGTGATGGCGAGGAGTCCCCAAGCACCATCACTACCACCACCACCACTAATTCAACCCAAAGCAATCGTGGCTGAGCATACCTTGTCCCCACCACCAAGCACTGCTAGGAGTCCCTGGGTGGTTCAACAGGTAATATACTTAGCTGCTAACAGAAAGGCCCCCAGAGGGGCCTGGGAAGAAAGGCCTGGTGGTCTACTTACAAGCAGCCACTGAAAATCATACGGAGTATGGTTCTACTCTGAAACACATGAGGTCGAGTTACCATGAGTCGGAGTCAACTCTGCAGCAACTGGTTTAGCACTGCTTGAGCACTTACTGTGTACTGGCACTACACTAAGGCTCCACATGGAAGTACTCATTTAATTCTCAGTTTGAGACACTCATTGCCACATCCATGTCACAAGAGTGTGAGCCCAAGACCTCAAGCATTACCTTACCAAGGACAAGCAGCTGATAGTGGCTGGAAGGAATTTAAACCCAGGACAACCACCACATTGTCCTCTCTTAGCTGCTTGGCTCAGTGTAGATATCAGCCCCACCAGGGGACACTTGCCCTACAGGCTCCTGGTGCCCCATGTCAATGCCCCACAGGCAAGTCCCTAGGCAGAGCTACAGGGGCCCAATGGCTCACAGCAGGAAGGACAAAGGTCGTTGGAGGCTCCACCTCCTAACTGGAGAGCCTCGAGGAATGGGGAGGTCCAAACCCCAGCCCAGCCTGCCATCTTCCCCTGGTCACCCCTAAGGACCACCAGCTCAGCCTTTCCCTGCCTGGCTCACTCTGCTCCAACCACCTCAGGACTCCCAGCCAGCTCCCAGGCCACTCCCCTGTCCTTAAAGCCCCACCTGGATGGCCTCACCTGCCCATTCTCACCCTGGACCTGGAAGGCTCATCCTCAGAGGTCTTCCAGAGCCCCAGGTCAGCCCTATACTCCCCACCACCGCCTGGTCAGTCACATGACAAGCATTAGTGGTGTCCTCCCACCCAAGACTGTGAGTTCCTGTGAGCAGGAATGGCCCTTGCCCAGTCCTTACCCAATCCCTAACACCCACAGCAGTCACCACTCGGCAGCAGCTGAACAAAAACAAATGAATCGGTGAATGAATGAGTGAGTGAATGAGTGGATGACAGATGAGTGGATGGACAAACAGATGGGTGGATGGACAGATGGGTGGATAGACAGAAGGGTGAAAAGATGGGTGGATGAGCATATGAACACATGGTCACTGTGGAACCGAGGCCCCCCTCTGGGCCTGTGGAACCCACTCTCACCCCACATATGCCCACACCCACTCCCTTCTCACACTGTGACCTAGAAAGTAGAAGCAAACAAGTGAGCTTCCGGAGAAGCCAGATCACAGGGCTTTTTTGGACTCATTCAGAACAAATGTAAAACTCATAAATAAGTAACTCCCAAGCTAAAAATGAACTTTTCTAAACAAACAACTAGAAAAACAGAGCTTCCAGTTCAGGATGTATGTGCGGTCCTATATGAAGTTCAGGAGACATGTGGGAGCCCCACCTCAAATGTGATGTGCAAATGGGGGTCCCACCTCAAGTTTGGTCCTGCCTCAAGTTTGGAGTGCACAAGGCGTTTCTCACTGTGTTTCACAGAGAGTGGGACAACCTGAGTCCCAGGGCCTCGACCCCATCCACCATGTTCCCATCACCCCTAGCTGCCCCAAGCCCAGCTCCTCCACCTCTGCAGGCCAAGGCTGCCTAGGATGTTCCAGTGGGAGACCCTGTCGCTTGTCCCATCGGGTGGCCTCCTCCTACTGAGATGTTCTAGTGGCTGGCTCTGCCCCATCCTGGGGCTGGTTTAGGCTCTTCTCACATGGCAAGCCCCTGGGAGGCCTCCCCCCAAGCCCCAGCTCAGGTGGGCAGTGGGAACACTGTCATGCACAGGGCTCAATACCGGCAAATTCTGCCCCCATACCACCCCGACCCCTCCCTGAGCCCCAAGTGAGTGCACATACCCTCCTCCAGCCCCAAGGGTCAGCCCCCAAGCTCCACAGGATTGTGCACTCACTGTCCCTTCTCCAGCATCAAAGGTCACTGTCTCCAACCAGTGACCTCCTGGACTGCAGGCCATCACCTCTGCCCCACCTCCCCAAGCCCCTCAAAGCTATTATTGTTCTGTCCAATTATTAGATTCCCTTTTGAGAGGCCCGAGGGACCGTCACCTAGGAATGGAACCTCAGGGGGAAGACTTCCTCTGTGATGCTGCCCTGCCCATCTGCCACACCTCCTTACCACCAAACACTATTTCTTTATTACCCCAGACAACAGAGCAGGGAGGCATGGATGCACTGGCTGTATAATCAGCAGTGACGAGACAGGTTGCTTCCCACCCTGCCCATGGCTGTCTGTGGGAGAGGCTAGCTGGCCAGGACCCAGTAATTATCCCCTATCCCTGTCACCCATTTGATGGCAGGGTCTGGAGCTTCCTGCTCTCTTTCCCCGTCCTCCTTCCAGAATCACTCGCTTCCTCCGCTGGAAGAAGCTCATCCCTCCTCTTTCTCCTCTTCCCACTGAGTTCACGTAAGGACAGGTGCCACAGCCCTGCCAGCAACCCCACACGCCCATGAGAAGTGGAACGGTGAGGACACAGGCCAGAAACCCAGTGCTCTGGTATGGCTTGGCCAGCTCCAGGGAGCATGACCTCCAGCCCCCCATGGCACAGCCCATCCCTACCTCATGACACAGAAACACCATGTGACCATCTCAGGGTGGCCTGGCCTATGGGACGAGGTCTGTCAACCTCTGGGCTGACTATTCTGACATTGACTCCTCTTACATAGTCAGCCTCATCTGCCAGCCCACCTATCCCTACTCAACCTGCCAACCATCCTTCCCTATTTGCCTGCCAACCTGCCTATCCCCACTCACCTGCCCAGCTTACATGTCCTCTTTCATCTGCTGGCCCACCTGTCTCCACATTCACTCACAGGTTTACCTCTTTCCACACTCACTTGCCAGCCCACCTGTCCCCACATTCACCTCTAAGTCCATCTGTCTCCACATTTACCTACCAACCTGTCCCCACTCCTCTGCCAGAGTACTTGTCCAGCCCACTTGATCCCATTAGCCTACCAGCCCACCTCTCCTCATTCACATCAAGTCTACTTGTCCCTAGCTGCCTGCTAGGCTGAGACACATGGACCCAGTCCTAGCCCCACCTACAATTATGTCACCTCTCTGTGCTTCAGTCTCCTCATCTCCATAGAGGCAGCAGCACCTGCCTGGATCACTGCAGAGACAGGAGCGCATATGGCCCAGTTCCCTGTGTACTGTGTATGGTGGGCAGCACCACCCCTCACTGCTACATTGTACCAAGGACACTTTTTGGGAACATCCCGCAGAAGCAGAGACTAGGGACCAGATGGAACCAACAGCCCAGGCTGCCAGCAACAGGAGATGGAAAGGACAAGAACCATTCTTGTGTCCACAAAGCTCCAAGGGTACCTAGCTTGGCCCCAATCAGCCACAGGGGAGCATAGTACAGCTGGCCCTCCACTTCAGCTGTCTTGACAAGAGTCCCCAAAGCCAGGAAGGGTGCATGGCATGACCAGCAGGAGAGGGGCCCCACACAGTCATATGGCGCCAAACCAGGAGGCACACAACTCCTGACACTGACAAGGTCTGCGCCCAGAGTCTCCCCTGCCAGGCGCTCAGGTAGCCCAGACAGGCACCATGCCACCGAGCCAGTTTGGGGCAACAGTGCAGACTGAGCACCTCCCCATACTGCCCAGCTCTGCCTCCACTCCTGCCAGCACTGGCCCAGACTTCTCACTGCTCTCTCTCTTTCTGATGCCATGTGACAGATTTTGGCAAGCAGAGGTATGGAGTTCCTGGCCCTGGAAGTCCCAGACAGCACAGAAGGCATGGAGTTGCACTTGGCCAGTGCTAGGAAGACATTCCTAATTAGGCACAGACCTCCAAGGCCCAGATTTACAGGATCTGTAGGGAATGCAAGTCAGCCACATGGGCCGGGGGGGGGGGGCACTCACAGGAGAGGCAACCCTTGTCACCAGGCTGCTGGGTCCACCCGGGGCAGCACCTGAGCAGTGTCCGGGCCTCTGTGGTGTACACCTGCCTGTAGGCTGTGTAGTAGAAGGTTCTAGAAAAGAAGGGAAGATGGAGCGTTAGGGTGTGGGGCTGCAAGGCTGACCTCCACCCTGTCCCTGATTCACAGACCAGGCCAGGAAGTGAGGGTAACCAGCTCAGGCCACACAGAAGGAAGGATGATACCACCTGATGGGCCCGATCCAGCCCAACATGGTTGTTCCAGCTCCAAGCTGGGGTCCACACCTGGCTTTCACTGCCAGGCCAGGCTGCAAAGGTTGAGAAGTCAGACCTGTAGTACCCTGGTAACCACCACCCAGCCAAGGAGCCATGAGTGGTTCTGGAATGGCTCAGCGGACCTGAGACGCCCCTGGGTACCCAGTGCGGGGAGCAGTGCTGTGGGAAGGACACTGGGTGGATAGAGAGACTATCCTGGGAGGACAGCAAGAACTTGGGAAACTGGGGGACACCATGACTATCCTGGGGGGTCCTGCCCGCCCCTGAGCAGGCTGCCTTTGGCCAGGCTGAATCCCCATCCCAGGGCCCCTAAGCCCCTGCTTCTCCCTCTAGGCCACATTTGGGCAGGGTCTCTCTCTGGTGCTCAAGGGATGACAGTGGAAAGAGCTGCCACCACCCAGGCCTCCTTGGGGAAACACCCTCACCTCTCATTCTTCCTCCCAAACCACCTCCACCTGGGTCCCAGGAGCTGTGCAGTTCCAGCATTCAAGATGACTGACAGACCAGTACATATGTTGCAGGGGGGAGAGAGGGGGCCGGGATAGAAAACTTCAGGCTCCCCCACTGTGCTCTGTCTGGGGATGGGGACCAGGCCTGGCCAGCAGATGTTGGGTTAAGGGTCCTTGAGCCTTGGGAGCCCAGGAGGCCTGGGTAATGTCTCTAAGGGACAAAAGTCTTCTTGCAGCAAACTGGGCTCCCTTCCAGAAGGTGCGATACAGCCCATAAACACACCAGGAACCAGAGCCACTGGCTTCCCGGAAGTGTGTGTGCGTGCATGCATGCAGACAGCACACCCCCTGAGTGTCTCAGAGATCCCCACTTGGCAGGACATGAAACTGCTCACCTGGGGTACAGCCGGCAGTGTGACAATAGTTGGCAGTGAGAGTGTTTGGGCCCGTCTGCTCAATATTTATCCCCTCCCAGGCCACAGGCCACAGGAGAAGGCCCTCAACAAGATGGACTGACACAGTGGCTACAACGATGGGCTCAGGTATAGCAGGGAGCACGGGGCTGGCCCAGGACCAGGCAGTGCTTTGCTCTGCTATACATAGGGTCGCTATGAGTCAGAGATGACTTGACGGCCCCTAACAACAACAGGCCACAGGGCAGGAGCTATGTGGTCCCAGAGGTGAGCAATGTGCTGCCCCTCCAGCCACCAGGAACACTCCTCCCCCATGCCCCCCAAATTAAAGAGCTTCAAAAGGTGCCGGTCAGCCTGTAGCCCCCCAGCCCCACAAGAGCTGACAATGCTTCCCTCTGAAGCTCACAGCACCCCAGTTGCTGGCAGAGGAGCCAGGGCTGGAGGAGTTGGGTCACCACAGTAGGCCAGAGGGAGGGGCAGGGGCTTAGAAGAGGGGGCAGCATGCTCAGGGGTGGGGCAGGACCCTCCAGGACAGTCACCATGTCCACCTGGGAAGGTCACTTAATTCTCATCCCAGCTGCCACCCAGCATAGTTTTCACTGCTCTGCAGATAGGAAAATTGAGGCCTAGGCAGACTCTGAACCTGGGCCAGGTCATCAACGTGAATGTCTGGATCCAGACCTAAGCCCCAAAATGCTTCCTATAAGCCCCATGCTCCCTTGGCTCTCCCTTGGAGAACATAAGGCGAGGTATCTCATCAGTCTGTCTCAGAAGATTACCCGGCAGTGGGTAATCTTTACAGGGACAAATTGCCAGGCGTGTGCACACATCCCAGTGGCTAGCATAAGCTGGGGTATAGTCGGTTGATGGGGTGTGAAGTGTGCTGCCTCCCACCCACTGGTCCCACCCACTCTGTGCATTTCTCTGACCAACTGGAGACCTCTCCTCAGGCCCCAGGAATTACTAGAGAAAGAAAACACTGGAAGCCAAACAGCTCCAGGGCCTGTGACCGATGGTGAAAATTCTGGAGAACCAGCATCATCACACCCTGGACCGAGCCTACATTTATCCACATCTGGCTGCCATATTGCTCTAGCCAAGAGGTGGTGGCCCTCATGGCTGGCCAGAGCCCACTGAGTAGCTCTCTAGGCAGCCACAAGCCTTGGCAAGTCCCCAGCGGCCTGGCAGACACTGCTGATCCAAAGGTGATGGAGCTAAAGCTGCATCTCCCAGGTTGATGGCCCACGTACTTCCCAGCGGCCTACATTGCTCCATGTTCACGTTTCACTGCTAAAGATGCCCTGCCCCCACTACCCTACAGGGAGAATCACAGCCAAGGCTTCCCATTACCTACACACGGCTGAGACAAGCACCTGCTATGCTCAGAACACACCTGGCCCAAGTCCCAGACCAGGTGTCCTAGACCTGAACCAGATGCAGAGCTGACACAGACTCTGTGGGAGACAAGCCCACAGCCCCTCCTTCCCAGTCACAGCCTCCTCTCTCTTGCTGGTCTCATCATTACCGTCCCCTACACCAGCCTAGGGAGCTCTGGCGGCATAGTGCCTAAGGCATTTGACTGCTAACCAGAAGGCTGGTGGTTCAAACCCACCAGCCTCTCCTCAGAAGGAAGGTTGGGCAATCTACTTCCATAGTGATACTGCCTCAGAAACCCAAGGAGGGGTCGCTATGAGTTGGATCCAACTCGATGGCAGGGCGTGTAGTGTGTACACCAACCTAACTTGCCACGCTACTTCTTCTTCTCTCTGCCTTCAAGCCTCATGTATCTGCCACTGATGCAGGGTAGAGTGAAGATAGCCACTAGCTTCCCAGAGGTGGTGGAGGACTCTTGGAGGAGGCTATATTTGAACTGGGTTTTTAAGGGTGAATAGGAGTTTAATAGACACTCTGTGCGTCACGGCCAGCACTTGGGCTATGGAGTCTAACAGACCAAGGTTCATGGTTCAATCCATCACTCCCCCTGTGTGGCCACAGCCACACTGCCTAAAAACCCTGGGCCACAGAACGGCTTAATGCCCACCATGTAAGGGCCAAGGAAACAAAGCTGAGCACAGGCAACCAGGCTATAGTGGGCCATGGCTCTTTCTGTGAGGGCTAGGCCAGGGGCTCCAGGATAAGGCCAGTGCTGCCCAGGTGGCCTCTGTGGGGCTCAAATGCCAGGTGTGGGGACAACTGAGGCCAGCCCCCCTCCCCGCCCCTCCTGGCAGTTGCTCTGCTCATGAGTGCCTGTTTCTAAGTCCTGCCTTGTGCCAAGCAGCTAGGGAAGGGTGCTCCTAGGTTTAGCATTGTTGGGTACCATCAAATCAATTTTCAACTGATAGCAACCTCATGTGACAGAGTAGAACTACCTTATACGGTCTCCTAGGCTGCCTTGGTGGTACAATGGTGAAGCACTGGGCTACTAACCAAAAGGTCAGCAGTTCAAATCCACCAGCTGCTCCACAGGAGAAAGATGTGACTATCTCCTTCAGTAAGGACTACAGCCTTGGAGACCCAATGGGGCATTTTTACTCTGTCCTATAGGGTGGCTCTGAATCAAAATTGACTCGACAGCAGTGGGTAATCTTTACAGGGACAAATTACCAGGTCTTCCTCTTGAGGAGCAGATTGCCAGCTCTTTCTCCTGTGGAACCACTGGGTGGGTTCAAACCACCAACCTTTTGGTTAGCAGCCAAGCATGTAACCTAGGTTCAGCATGCAGCAGGCTAAAATGGGGCCCCAAAAAGCTATGTTCACAACCCAGTACCTGCGAATGTGACTTTATTTGGAGGAAGCATCTTTGCAAATGTAATGAAATGAAGAGTCTATAATGAGGTCATCCTGTGTTAACTGAGGGGCCCTAAGTCCAACGACTCGTGTCTTTATAAGAAGAGGAAAGGACACACAAGTGAGCAATGTGATGACAGGTCGGAGTGACACAGTCACAAGCCAACCACCAGCAGCTGGGAAAGACAAAGAAGGACCCTCCCCTACAGCCTTCAGAGGAAGCGGCCCTGATGACACCTTTATTTCTGACATCTATCCTCCAGAACTGTGGGAGAATTGACCCGTCTGGTTTTAAGCTCCCAGTACATGGATGGCACTTTGTTACAGCAGGCCCAGGGACCAATATGAGCACTAACAGGCAACACCATCAGCACAGGCAGTATTGTCCACTTCGTGGATGAAAAAATAGAGGCGAGTGGATAGTGCTTAAGGCATTTGACTGCTAACCAAAAAGTTGGCAGATCAAACCCACCAGCTGCTCCATGAAGGAACATAGGGCAATCTACTTCTATAACGATTTACTACCTTGGAAACCCAATGGAGGTCGCTATGAGTCAGAATCGAATCAATAGCAATGGGTTTGTTTTTTTTTTTAGTGGACAACAACCATATGGTTGGGTGAGGCCTGTGATGTGATAAAATCCCCAGGTCCCCCCCCCATGCTAGGCCCTCCCCTATGGCATCATCTCCCAGTGCCCCAAGCCTCCTGCTTAGCCCCCACCTCAGCTAGGGGTAGGCAGGATGGTTCAGCCCCAGGGCCCCAGCTCCTAGGCAGTGAGTGGACTCTGGGTGACAGCAGGCCCCCCACATGGAACCTGGCGGGCCTGGTACATACCTCCTCACGTGGCTGACACACCACCTCTGCGGCCCACAGCCTGGCGTCCACACGGGCACAGTGCGGCTGAAGGCCTGCACACAGGACTGGCGGTGGCCCACCAGGGTCAGCTCCTGCTCAGCACACACGTGGGGCCTGGGACAGAGGGACACACACAGTCAGCATCTGGGTTACCAACAGCCAGCCCAACCTGCCAGCTGCCCTGGGGGAAGCATACAGTGTGGGCCCGAAGCAGGGGTCAGGCATCCACAGCAAGGGGCTCTTCTCTTCCCTGGTGCCCAGCAGGCCCAGAAAGAGAAGAGACAGGGAGTGCAGCACAGTGTCCCCACAGCCACCACTGGGACGGATTGAACTGTGCCCTCCTAGCCTCCAGTCACTGGAATGAGCAGCTCTGGTGGTGTGACAGTTAAGTGCTCAGCTGCTGACTGAAAGGCTGTGAAGATTACAGCCTGCTCCCCATTACCCAGTCCTCAGGGTGCTCTGGGTGTGTCCATGTCCATGCCCCTCCTCGGGGTCAGAAAGGTGAAGAATCGGAACTTCCTCGAATACTTGCTATGTCCTAGACTACTTTACTTGCATCCAGTTACTCTTTAATAAATACTTTAAACAAATCCCCAGATCAATATTAGCATTATTTCAAATAGGTGACTTTGGGTGTCTAACCCAGAAATACCTAACACTGGTCCTGGTGGATATGGCATTTATTCAGATAGTTCTGTTTTGCTGATGGGTAGGTAGCTACAGCAACTGAATTTATTAAAGTTGGACCCTGGCCTACTTTTTAAAGTGTTGAGATAGTTTAAACCTGGCACGAGGTAAGATGCCTCAGGGAAAAACACAACTCCCTAAAGGAAGGAGAAGGGGTCACACATTTCAGGCATTGCATGGGCTCTGGAAACAAAGGAGAACAAAGACATTGAGGAACAAAGTCTTAATTTTTGAGACTTTGAAAATATACACCTCTGTTTGCAGAGATTATTAATGTACAAGGAGCTCTGGTGGCGTAATGCCTAAGGCATTTGACTGCTAACCAGAAGGCCCACCAGCTACTCCTCATTGAACTCCAGTTCAAACCCACTAGCTACTCCTCGGAAGGAAGACCGGGCAATCTATTTCCTTAGAGATACCACTTTGGAAACCCAAGGAGGGGTCGCTATGAGTCTAAACCAACTCAATGGCAGTGAGTTTGATTTTGTTTTTTATTAATATAGAAAATTAATGTCTTATGTACAACTAAACTTGAATAGGAATTTATTCAGTTCTTATATGTAGAGAACCAAGTGAAATTGTTGTTGTTGTTGTTATGTGCCGTCGAGTCGGCCCCGACTCATAGCGACCCCTCCTTGGGTTTCCGAGGCAGTATCACTACGGAAGTAGGATTGCCCAACCTTCCTTCCGAGGAGTGGCTGGTGGGTTTGAACCGCCAGCCTTCTGGTTAGCAGTCAAGTGCTTTAGCCACTATGCTACCAGAGCTCCCAAGTGAAATTAGAAAATGTATTTAACCTGTTTTATGAAAGATACCCAAACCTGTTCAGTTGGAGGGTTTGATCTTGACCCTTTACAACAACAGAAGGCCAACATGGTGAGTGGCTTTCAATGATCATGTCTCAACTGAACTCTGGGAAGGAACAGCTCTAACTCCATTCCTCAAGACAATGCCCTCAACAAGTAACATTCTAAACTGTAGATACAAATGAGGAGCTCTGGAAGCATAGCTATTAAAGCACTGGGCTGCTAACCAAAAGGTCAGCAGTTCAAACCTACTAGGCACTCGACAGGAGAAAAATGAGGCAGAGAAAAATGAGGCAGTCTATTTCCATAAAGATTTACAGCCTTAGAAACCCTACAAGGCTGTTCTAATCAACTTGATGGCAGTGAGCTTTTTGGTTTTAGATACAAATGAAAGAGAGAAAATCTGGATTGAGATAAGAAAAAAAAAAAAAGATTACAGCCTAGAAACTCTAGGGTATGGGGCACTCCTACTCTGTCACATGGAGTCAATATGAGCAGAAATCGACCCCACAGGCCCTAACTACAATCACTAGAAAAGGACATCAGTTTGGTTAAGTAGAGGGTCAGCAAAAATGAGTGAAATCCTCAATGAGATGGATTGCCACAATGGCCGTGACAACGGGCTCCAACATGCCAACCACCTTGAAGATGGCTCAGGACCAGGCAGTGTTTCATTCTGCTACCCATAGGTCGCTATTAGTTGGAGCCAACTTGATGGCAACTAACCACAGCAAATACTTGTGGATTTAATCTAATACAATGTAAGGCACAAACATACACTGAACAAACAAATCCTGGAAGAAGTGCAGCTGAAAAGCTCCTTAGAAGTGAGAGGGGCTGGACTTTGTTTCACCTACTTAGGTCATGTGGTCAGAGAGTCCAGTCCCTGGAGAGGGATCTCATGCTTGGTAAAGTGGAGGGTCAGAGAAAAAGAGGAAGACTCTCAACAAGATGGACTGACACAGTGGCCGCAACGATGGGCTCAAGCACAGTGAAGCCTGTGAAGATGACACAGGACAGGGCAGTGTTTTGTTCTACTGAACGAACTGTCGCTATGAGTCAGAATGGACTCAACAGCACCTAACAACAACAATGTATGGTAATCACCTTCTATAATGTGATCAGTGCAATGTGATCGATCACCTGAGGTCACACCAGTGTAGGGCAGGTCCTAAACCCAACTCCTTCTGAGTTATACAGGGCTAGCCACCATCAAGTCCACTCTGACTCACGGCAATCTCATGTATGACAGAATGAAATGTTGCATGGCCCCACATCACCCTCAAGGTCACCACATGTTTGAGCTCATGGTTGCGGCTATTTCGGAGTTATAAAAAGAGCAGCAGAGACGCAGACACAGGGGAAGAATAATGCCCTCTTGTAAAGGCAGCTGCATCTACAAACCCAAGAACTCCAAAGACAGCCAAACCAAAACCAAACTCACTGCCATTGAATAGATTCCAACTCAGAGTGACCCCTGTTGTGCTTTCAAGGCTATAAAACTTTATGGAAGCAAGAGTTCCGGCAAGATGGCGGACTAGGCAGAAGGATTGCACAGACCCTCTTCAACAAAGGGAAACCAATTAACACAGACACAGAAGATAATCGTGGACCCCTGAGCCTTGAAGGGAAGGATACAGAATTGGACTAAACCCCAATTAGCAGA